AATCTTGAAAAGATGATGATTCAGTGCATTATGACCCGAGGCCAGTTGATTTATCAAAGAACTGAGGGATATGTGTAGACCCGACGAGACAGGGGGCTTAGGGGAGAGGCTGGCTGTTGACCTGCGGAGCACCTTCTTGAAATTGCCTTTGATGAGTAATTGCTGCGAGGAGGGGGACTCCAGCGCTTCTTTAGCCAATCTATCCGCAAGTTCGTTACCCAGAATGTCTCTGTGTCCAGGGCACCACACAAAGGAAACATCCAAGTGGCACGGCAATTCTGAAATCGCGGCGAAAATCATGTCAAATAGTCCTTGCCCCGGCTTTGGGGTCACCGGGCCTCCTATCCTTCTGATGACTCCCTGGTTATCAACAAAGACCACCAGTTGTCGGATTGTCGGATCCGTACTAAGCGACCTGGCCAACCCCATGGCCGCCAACACTCCCACAGCTTCACTCTCGTGATTAGACACAAGGGAGCTCCCACCCAAAGCGTAGGAGCTGAAGACATTCCTGGCCGGACAGACAGCCGCCCCTGCTCCTCCTTTCTCCGGGTGGAATGACCCGTCACAGAAAATTAAGAGTCTCGTCGGGTCTGATTGATGCAGTGAGATGAGGGACTTAACCGCGGTAATAGCTTCCTCCTTGGGTGTGTCCAAATTTTTGAGTTCCAGTTTTTTGAGAGTGGGCGTCCCAAAATCGAGGGGGAGACGTATTTCCTCGGGGTCCATCTCCATTGCCATGTCAACAAGGTCAGCAGCCAGGCCAATCCTAGCTGAGTCGGCCAGGCGAGTCGCAGGTTCCGCCCTGCTGGAGAGGATGAAAGATCGGATGATATTATTAGCCTTCACTGTGATCAGTTTTCTGAAGAAAAATGAACAACATGTCTTTTTTATTTCATTCGCAAAGTCTGGAAAAGCCGATCTTGTGCGCAAGAAATCGTTGGGAGTTGATTTGAAAACACCAAGGGTGAAGATACCCGCAAGTCGATTAACTTTCAGGGCAAGGGCAGCAACCTTGCCCTTGTTAGAGCTGGTGGCCCACAAGGCTGCCCCGTATAAGATCCTAGGAAACAATACACAGCGAACCAATTTCAGTCTGTCAGCTTCTTTTGCACCCCATCGGGAGTTGCCAAAGATCTTGAGTTGATTGATGGTCTTATGAGCCTTCTCTTCTAGGACCTTGAAGTTGTGGTTCAGGAGGAGTTTGCTATCGAGCCACACCCCCAGCCATTTAACTTCGCTTGCCGGCTTCAAGACCTGATTTCCAAATAGGAAGGCCTCGTCCGGCATTTTCCTCTTGGTGAGCCAGAGAAATTGCGCCTTAGCTTGATCAAAATAGCTCCGTGGGTGACCCCCCAAGCGAGGGAGCGCCTTCCCTCCTCCGTTAGTGTGGCCTTAGCGGACTCCGCTGACTGCGCCGCAACTAGATGGACTACGTCGTCTACATAGCCAATCGAAACCCTGTCAGAGGAAGTTGAGAAGGATTTGTTCAGCAGAGAATTATTGTATAGAATGTAAAGGATGACCGATAGGGGGGACCCTTGGGGGAGGCCTATCTCTATTGGAAAAGCCTCGGAAACAAAGTCATCTAGCCTGACTGTCGTTGACCTATCTTTGAGGAAGTCGGCAATGATCAGTACAAGATAAGTCGGGCACTTAATCTGGAATAAATACTGGATAAGTCTGGATGGGTGAACCGACGGGTACGCCGACTTAACATCCAGGAAGAGGGCGGCAACCGCCTTGCCCTCCCTCCACTTAGCTTTGACCCAATGCTCCAGCGCAAACAAGGCATCCTCAGTACCCGATCCCTTACGTCCTCCGAAGTGACCTTCCGCCAGTATTCCTGCTCCCTCCGCCCATGACGTCAGTCGTCGTGCTAGAATGAGCTCAAACAGCTTGCTCATGGAGCCTAGAAGAGCAATCGGCCGGTATGCGGAGGGATTCGTGTAGTCGGGTTTACCCTGCTTCCGAATGATGGCGGTGACAGCTACTTTCCAGGAGCAGGGGAATTTGCTGGTGGTTAGGATACTGTTGTACAGTTTTACCAATACCTCTGACAACGGGAGGGATAAGGACTTAAGTAGTTCGTTTGCCAGACCGTCAACACCTGGCGCCTTCTTCGGGCTGATCCGTTTTATTGCCGATTGCACCTCCGCTTTGGTTACCGGGGGGTAGCTAGCAAACCTGCAAGATAAATCAAATTGAGCATCCGAGAGGTCTATAGGGGCATTTACCACCGATGTTCCTTCAAACAGAATCTTGGCCTGTTGCGACTTATCGTGGACGATTGTCCCATCCTTTGTCTTGAGCGGAAGGACCTCACCGCCCGCCGACTTTGTGGAGAATCGGAGGACGCGGTAGATGTCACCATCCGCAGGGTCCTCCAAGAGCTTTCTCCAGCTGCGTTGCTTCAAGGAACAAACAAGAGATAAGAAGTAGGTATTCCATTGTCGATAACACTCGATAGCTTCCGGGGACTTAGCTATAATCATCCATCTTCGCGCACGATTTCGGGTACGTAAAACCGGGTCCAGGGTCTTGCTGCACCACCATGGCTTGGTTTTGGCCTTGTCGGCCCGAACGCGCGTTCCCAAGGATTCCTGTGCCTCTTTAAGAAGAGCCGTCAGTCGAACGGCCGTCGTGTCTGGGTCTTCTTGCGGTGCAATAGATAAGGAGGACAACTTAGCGGTGATGGGGGCAATCTTAGACCCGGTCAGGTCCGACCAAAGGGGGGGGCGCCAGCGGAAAGCTGGGGGCGGTTTTTTGATGTTGAGTTGGGCATGGAGGGCTTGATGATCTGATCCGAAATTGTCATTGGAGACGGAGACCGATTCAACTAATTTTGAGCCTAAGAAATTTGCCCAGACAAGGTCAATAGTCGAGCCTGTTCCTTTAGCAGAAAAGAAGGTGGGGACATGTTTGGGAGAAACCATCCTGAACCCAAAAGCAGAGAGGAAACTTAGCAGATCTCTGGCCGCTGGTTCGACTTTCCGGATTCCCGGGGGGTTCCAGTGTCGGTGATGTAGGTTGGCGTCCATTGCGACGATCATCGCATGTTGCCTGGAATAATGGATTGTCAGCCAGTTTCTGAGGAGGTCTACTGAGGGAAACGACGGAGGGGGGTTGTAGATATTCAGGAAACGAAAAACTCTCCCGGGTTGTGAGACTTCTATGCCCACTAGGTTCTGTGATCCCCCCTCCAGAAGCCGGATGGCTTCGGAGGGGATAGCTCGCCGAACGTAGATGACCGCCTTGTGACGTTCCTTCCAGCAGGACGGGGAGTGTTCGTACGCTACGTAAGAGCGCCAGGCCGCATGCTGTGGGGGGCAAAAGTCACTAGTGTTAACCCATGGTTCTTGGAGAAGGAGAAAATCAAAAGAGAGAGCAGAATTAAGGAGACTTAGCGTGACAGCATTGGATACATGACAGTTAAGCTGTAAAAAGGAGAAAGAGTTAGTTGCAAGAGGGGGTGGGGAAGTCGAGGCCGTTAGGTCCCATCTGAGAGAGGTGTTGTAGTTCGCTGAGGGGGAATGGGCGTGAGGATTTGGATTCGACAGTGGTAAGTTTTGAGGAGTGCGATCGGGGGTTCCGGAAGGTGTACCTATCATTGAGACGGGAGGCGTTTCTTCTCAAACCAGGCCTTCTTGTAAGGGCAGGCCATGCTGAACGGAGTGTGATCGACATCGCCGACCCCTGGAATTTTGTTCTTGATACCTTCTTTGCAGAGGACGCAAGTCTTGACGCCACCGATGCCTTCAGGGCATTCATTAGTTGAGTGATTGCCGGCGCATTTTGCACACCTTGCAGGTTCACGGCACCATCTCCCAAAATGTCCCATCTTCAGGCATTTGAAGCACTGGGGTGGGCGGGGCTTGAAACGTTCGGTTCGGTGATAGTCGTAATTCAGGAAGATGCCCGACTTCTCAATCCGGAGAGCAAGGTCCTTGTTGGTGAACGCCAGGACCAAGGATCCGGCCTTCTTCGTCGATGGTTCGTTTGAACCCATCCATCGTACACGAGCCAAATCGGTCGCCTGAAAGTTGTTTTCGGAGGCCAGCAGCGCTAGGTTGGAAGACTTGCTGACATCAAAGGATTTGGGGATTCCGTGAGCCATGACGGACCACGTGCTGGGGGTCGCTTCTAGATCGGGATGGACGGCTTTGGACCACACATGCTTGTTGTCCATGAGCCACTTCTGGTGGGCTCTGTTCTTCGTGTAGAAGGAGACATCGCCGGAAGGGAGCATGCTGGCTCCTCGGATCGCTATAGCCTCGCCATCAACTCGGGCATCTAAGCCGAGAAGAGCCTCGTTTGCCTTCTGGACCAGGGCCCCGCTGGGCACGTCCTTCAACGTGGTGTTCGCTGGGTTCGAATGGATGATGACCCGCTTTGGCTTCAAAGAGGCGATGACCTGCTTGGGCGGGGGACGCGTAGTCGGCGCGTGAATGGAGTCGGCGAGGGTTGACGCCGCGACCGAAGCGAATGATTTGCCATTGTTGGTCGCAGGCTTGAGGCCTGTCTTCATGAATTTCTGAAATTCGGCCATCTGTTCGATCAATGGGTCGACTTTAGCATTGAGCTGGTCGACCGTAGCCTCGAGTCGTTGGATCAAACGTTCATTGTTGGCCGAGAGGTCAAGGATCATTTCGATGAAGCCAGCGTCCAACGTGATCGAACCGTTTGCTTCGCGTTTTGCGCCTTCGCCAAATACCTTCGTCAGGATGATGTGGAGGCTGGACGCTGTGGGCTTGGTTGACGGGCGGGTGGGAAGTTGGACTTCGAGATCCTCCATTATAGCCTCGTTGTCGGCGCGAGGCGCGTCGGAACGTTGGGGGTCGGGGGGGCGGAGAGAGGGGAGCATAGGCTTCCCAGGAAAGAGGGGGAGGGGGGAGAGAACTTTTCTGTGTTAGTAAGGGGGGGGGGGGGGTGGGTGGTAATATCGACGCGTGAGGTGGGGTATTTTGTGGTTGCGGACAGAAAGTGAGATGCAGCTACATAGTCCTGTCCTTCCAGTCCCTGTCTTGTCGCTTTCCTCTGCCTGCCAGCTGGGACTTGGACTGCCAACCCCCACTTCCGATTCTCAAACTGAAACCATCGATCCAGTCGCAATCAACCCACACTCCCCCTCATTCCTACTACATACTCTCTTCAGACTGCTCTCCGATCATTATCCTATCCCCTATATAAACCTCCCATCCATCCTTCCCACTCGGTATAGCATCATTTCCCTCATTCGATCCACTCAAACTCTGCTCTGACCTCACCATTTGTTTCCAGACCGATTCTTGCTGACCGATCGATCTACTAAACTCATCCGCTCCAACTCACTCCCTCTCCCCCCCTCGTCTCTTCCCTCTCCTTCGGATCCGAAGCCATCATGACCCGGATCAAGCGGAGTTGGAAGAAGGCTCCCGAAACGGTCAGTCGCCTTTTTGTCTTGCCCGATCACCTAAAGAAAATCCTCCATTGGCTGATCTCTTGCTATTCTGGCTCTGCCTGATCTCAGAATCCTAAGGTCGTCGTGCTCATCAAAGAATTCGTCCAACTTCCCGATCACGAGTTCATCACTGCCCTCGAAGATGCCATCAAAGCCGGTTGGCAATACCCTCGCTCCGACCTCATGTTCTGGATTCCTGTTCTCAATCGATTTGACGCCTACCTGGAAGCGACCATCAAGGAGTATGAACTGCGAGGTCCGGGTAGTAAGAAGGAGAAAGATTCAGATGGCAAAGAGATCAAGGAGAACGATTCGAATCGGATCGGCGTCCAGCTCACCGACTTTGCCCCGATCACCAAAAGGATGACCCTGGCTATCTTCGGATTCATCAAGCTCTTACTCGAGAATTGTACCAACCGAAAACTCTTTTCCTCTTACGACGTCAGTCTTAATCTCTCACCCCCCCTTGTTCCAAATTCGATGATCCTTTTGACTGATTCTTTCTGATTCTCTGTTATTTTACATAGCGACTCAATGACTTCTTACTAACAACCGACACCGACGTCCTTCTCGCCAATCTCCGGCTTATCCTTCGCTCGGCCCAACAATGGAGCGTCCAGCATCAAGATATGAACGGCGGCTTTGGTATCTCTCACTCCAGGCTTCTCGACCTGCTCCAGAGCTGGTCTTCGATCGGCGGAACGGAAACAACTAGTCTCACCTTGGTCGATCTCATCCAACAATCTCTCTCCACCCCCTCTAAGGCCGAGGACTCCAATATGGATATCAATTCCGTCCAGTCTAACCCACCGCGTCACTCTCCCGAGGTCAACTTCCTCTTTTATCGCAAGGTTGATCCCAAGCCGACCAATCAGCCTCCCCCTGAGGCCAAGCCGGCCCCAGACGAAAAGGGCAAAGGAAAGGATGTATTGACCGGCCCATCCACCTCTTCATCCATCCAACCCTCAAGTTCCTCAACCCAGCCGGTTCATGCTCCAACTACTCCAACCCCAAAAGGCCGATCCAAGGACAAATCTTCCGCCCCTCATACTTCCCCCACCCAGCCCCCTGCTCCAGTGGAGGGCTTAGCCACCATTCACGTTTCCGCCGACACCATTGCTTCTGGGAGGCGACCCCAGGATATCTTGGCTGATCTCATCGAGCAACATCAGCTCCCCATCGACTGTCGATTTAAGCTCTTTCATCGGATCCGGATCGCTACGGCCCTTAGGAACTCACTAGATGTTCGGCGATTTGCCGTCGTCCGACTCTTGGCTCTGGCAATCTATACCCATACGACCGACGAGACCACCGCTATTTCGAAATTGTTTATCTATGAGCCCGGTCTCATAGCTCAACTCAGCGAGCTCATCAATCTGGAAATCGGTGGAGACGGTCTCGGTGGCGACATCCAGGCGGCCGCCTTCTATGCATTGGAAGGTATTTCCAGATATCGTGGCAAGATTGCTGAAGTCGCTGGTGCCGTTGGCGTTTCTGTCAGTCACGGTACTTTGATGCAGGTAGTACGGAAGATGGCAAAGGAACTCGAACGTGAGCGAGCCGCTTGTAAAGACGAGTTCATCGACTCGTTATTCTGCTTCCTAAGCTGTCTTCAGCTTAGCGTCTATGCCGGCTCTCTCCTCGTTGGCGCTGGTGTCGTCCCTGTGCTTGTCGATATCTGCAAGAACTCTCATCCCAATCAAATCGGTACCGTGATTCGAGCTGTTACGAATCTAGATGGCCTCCTCTATGGATTCACCTCGGCGTTTGCCCTCTTCAACCAAGTCGATGGCCTCAAGGTGTTTGTTAATCGGATCAAGGAGGAGGTCGACAAAGCGATTGCCGAGCACCCTATCGACGCCACTTCATCTTCCAAACCATCCGAATTACTCATCGGTATGCTCTCACATTCATCCGCCGGCCTCCTCAAAGCGCTTTTCCGCTCGATCCAGCGCTTGCTCACCTCAGCCGGAACCTTAGAGAGCGTTCGGAACTTGACTGAAACTCAACTACCGCTATCCATCAAGCTGATCATTCAAAATAAGGCAGTCTTCGGTTACCAGATCTATTCCCTCGCCATCAACATGATGTCTACCTTGATTCACAGCGAGCCGACCTCACTGGTAATACTTCAAGAAGCGGGCTTACCTGAAGCTCTATACGATGCAATCGACAGTGGTATCGAGCCGGCCTTCGATGTGATTGCTGCGATACCGTCCGCTTTGGGCGCTCTCTGTTTGAACGATGTCGGTTTGCAACAGTTGAACGATCGTCAAGCTATCCCGGCCATCTTCTCGGTCTTCACGTCTGAAAGACATGCCCGGATTCTGCGGGACAGGGACCATGCTTCCGTGGTTGGTAGCACTATTGACGAGTTGATCCGCCATCAACCTTCTTTGAAAAAGACGGTACTTGATGCCACTTTGACCTTTCTGAACGAGATCGATCGCATCGGAAAGGCCGTTGACATCAACGGGAGTCAAATCGTAAATGTTCAGCTGAAGACTTGCCCTGAGGAAAGCTCGCAAGCGGCGATCGAAGGTTCCATGCCGTCTGTTGCGCAAGTTCCTGCCCAAAACACCCTTCAAGACGTCATCATGAGCGAAAATCAAGTTGTACCGACCCCAGCTGCTAGTCTTTTCCAATCGACCACGGGTAGTGTTAGCAAGAAGGAAAAGGAGAAAGATGAAAAAGATCATTATTCTAACAACATGGTGCTATTGTTGATCGACGTCGCCTGCAGGGTAAGATAGCAATTTTTTTTTTTTTCAAATTCTTTCTCATTTCTGATGACATGTTTTTTTTATCTCACGTTCCAACTCTTTGCTGCTTTCTTCACAGTTGCTCGAGTCGATGTTGCAAAATGTGGCACACTGTCAAGATTTCATCACATTAGGTGCACTTGACTTATTGCTGGGCCTCCTCCGACTACCTTCGATCCCTTACGATTTTGCTACCACACCTGCTGCCGAAGCTTTCAGCTCAACCATTAGGGTTGTCACTGAAACTTTGCCCCGAGAAACGCTAACGGTGGTAATGAAGCAACTCCGTTCGGATTTGGTCGAAATCAAACCGTTTTGGGAGACTCTTCGACCAGAGTCAGAAATGCTAAAGATGGTCTCACCTACAGGTAAGTTTGAATACAATTCCTTTCTGGATCACGTTTTGTTGGCTGTTTCATCAACTGACCATTTGTTGTTCTTTTGTTTGCTGGTTTAGCCGCTGATGTCGATGGCCACAACCACGTCTTCCGTCGCTTGATCTCAATCCAAGCGTACATTTCGTTCCTGAGTGATATCTGCGTCGCGAGTGGCTACTCTCACACCCGAACCGCCGCTGGCATCCTCGGAGTTTTCAACAATGCTGAAGAATCCGAAACAGTAACTTTCCTGGGCGCTCTTCAACGTGTGGTCTTCTGGGAGCACATTTTGATCAAGGCGTATGCTCCCAAGCCTTGGTCAGATGGGACTACCCCAGCTACAACCTTCAGCTCTACTAGTGTTCCGGTCCCATCCTCCTCCTCCGGTACAGTCTCCATTCCGGTTCTTCCTCCGATTGGCGACCAGAATCAGATTGGTTCTGTCACAACGATTCGAAGTGAGTTCATGACTCTATGATCAGAAGGAAACGAAAAACCCAGCTTGCTAAAATCCATTTTTCTCCTCACAGCTAATGCCATCTCCAATACCGAAGCCGTTTCGATGACATCAAATGGTCGCTCTGATTCAATCACAGGAAAGCCGGCTGAAACCACTGGGACTCCTGCTTCCGAATCATCAATTGAGAATGCCAAAGCCTTACGGTCTATTGCAGCCTCGATATCACAGTCTCTCAATCCCTTCTTCTCAGGTAAGCACCATAGCATGTATGTTTTTGAGGGTTTGGTCCTAATTTTTTCATCCTCTTGTTAGCTATTATCAAACTGCTATCTTCTCGGCGAGTTACAGACGAGGCGTTGAAGAAACAAGCCCTTTACACTGCCAATCTACTCGCACAAGTTTTATCAGGACATTTGGTATGGCCGGGTGCAGGTATGTCTCAACTTCACTTATATTGTCATGTACTCCTTTTTTTCTCAACTAATTGACCCTGTTTTTTTATATCTTTGAAGAGGATCATTTTTCAAATTTCGCATATCTCACTGTTTGTCTGAACACGGCATCTCAGTTGCTGACTGAAGAACGAGGGAGCCGCTCGACCCTGAATAGCCTCATCCTGTCCCCCTTCTACGACAGTGGTGGACTGCAAACCATACTCTCTCTCTTCAACCGTTACGTCGACCAAACCGACCTGCTTTCGAAGGAAGAAAACCGAACACCAGCTCAGAATGTGTTACTGGTTCATCTGTATGGTGGCTTAAAAGTTGCCCTCGACTTACTTCAAACATTGTGTTCCTCGAGTGCTCTCCTGGAATCTCCACACACGGTGCTCCTCCAAACCTGGAAGGATTTGGTCGATCCACCCTTCGATGCTCCCGGGTTACTAATCTCAATGCGCGCGAGGATCTTGGCTGACATACAACGTCTCTGGCGCGCCGAGTGGTTGAACACTTCACCCCCCAATGTCGTCCGTGGGGTTGTCAAGATCCTACTCGATATCATCAAAGCTGATGGCGAGGCTTCCCCGGAACCAGCGGCAGTCGTACCTTTTACCGCGGTCGGTGATTTGATGGGAACGGCCAATACGTCTTTGGACCGAATCACAGGAGCATTGGCTGGAGGGGTTGGAGGCATGCCTGGTTCTAGCTACCTTGCATCTGCCTACGCACTGACAGGTGGGCGTCCACCTGCGGTACCGGATGAAGGAAGAATCGCTAGTCTGGTGGACATGGGCTTCCCACGTTCTGCTTGCGAAACCGCGCTGGCAAGAACTCATAACAACCTCAATCTAGCCACTGAATTCCTCCTCGCCTCTCCTGTCCTAGTTCAGCGTGCTCGAGATGAAGAAGCTTCAGCTGCAGCTACTGCCGCCGCCGCCGCCGCCGCCGCCTCCTCATCAACATCCGGGGACCAAGCCGTTGCAAATGAAGAGCAGTCCCCCCAGGAAGAAAGCAACCAAGCTGCAGCTGACAGCTCACATGTTGAACCTCTGGCGAATCCTGATGAGGTGATGGTCACTCCTCGTCAAAGTTCGGCCTCCGTCCCTGCCCTGTCGATTCCATCTACTGACAGCGAACGAGCTTCGGATACCAACGATGTTTCAATGGCCGAGGCCTCTGCTGAAGATTCGGGGCCTGCGGACCCACAAGGCAGCACTGAAAATTGCAGCTTTTCTGGAGACGATGGACACACGACACCCAAGATCCCATCAGCTGAAGCGAATGACCCGGCCAGCAACAAAACATCGCGGCTAGATGAGATTCGTGCTCAGATGAAAACTGCGCTGAGTGAGCTCCGGGACCCCTTGCGAGCAATGTTTCTCAAACGCAGTTTAATCCTTGCCGAATCCTACGACGAACTTGCCTTCGATTTGAAAACCGCCTTCAAAGCCTTTGAAAAGAAGTCTCTGGCTAACGATAACAAAGCTTTCGATGGTATTGCCACCCTACTCAGTGACCTCGAATCCCTCTCACCGCCAACTGATACATCCAACAAGGACCCGCTGCAAAACAACATCTTAGCCATCTCAGTCCGCTTAAGAATGTTGGCCCTTCTGGCGAATGACTCGTCTTTCGAAGCATCCCTGCATCGGAATGCTAAAGCATTGTTGCAAACCATTGTAGCATTGCTTCGAAATGCTACCGGCTTGATGAATGAATCACTCGAAGCCACCGAGATACCCAAATGGCTTGCTTCCTCTCTTTTGATCATCGAGGCCATCTTAGCGTATGTGAAGGACAAGCCTGCCTCCGAAGTTGAGCTCTCCAGGCCTGCCGCAGACGAGCTGAACGAGAATGATGAGGACGACGATGATGAGGAAGAAGATGCCAATAACTCAATTCCAGACAATGTTGCTTTCCTGGGATTGCCTGCCTTAATGAATGAGCCTCGCCCCGCAACCGCTAACCAGACTGCCTCCACTTCAGCCTCCAAATCAACGAAGACTCCGGAGGTCTCAAGCCCGGCATTCAGTGAGCCATCGGAAGAGGATCTGGAGCTGCTTTTCCAGATCTGCACCAATGTACTCAGATGCCAGCAGTGTGGTCGCCACGATTTCCTAGCCGCAATCCGAGTGCTTCTAATTCTTACTCAGAAGCATTCTGTTGCTGAAGCCTTCCTCAACAGTGGTGTGCCATCAATTCTCCTTCGCAGCTTCTCGTTCAAAACAGAGTCTCGAGGCTGTTTACCCTATGCGGCAATGTTACTCCGTCACACCGTCGAATCAAACTCAGTCAAGCAAGCGATTATGACCAAAGAAATTACTCATTTTATCTCTTCTCACGGCCGCGTCCGGCAATCTGATTTACCTTCCTTTTGTCGCCATTTGGTTCCAATGGCCTGGCGAGATTGGTCAACGTTAATGGAAACCATTGCGGCAACTTGCAAGCTTGTCCCAAACAGCGGTACCACGGGTGGATCATGGCTTATTGCCTTGAATGACAAAAAGGATCCAACGACCCAAGAATCCGATAAGGACGCTTCAAATTCGACCTTGAAAATTCCTTCCGGTGAGACAGCAGGAAGTGAAATGCAAATCGACGAGATTGCACCAACTGATGCTCAAAAACCTTCAGACGACGCACCTTGGAGACCTGCGGTCGATGGAACAATGCAGTTCCTGATGTCTGAACTCTTGAAGGCCGGAAAAGACTGTCTAGCTCCGAGTGCAGTCGCAGATCCCACGACCTCACCAAATCTACCAGGAATCATTCGGCCCCCTATCTTTAGTCAAGCCTCACAAAGCACTCGGATGCCAAGCTTGGACAACGTTGACATTGGGTCCACCGGTCCAAGTAGCGCTGCTACAACTTCAAACCTCTTGGCATCTGCGCTTGGTGGATCGACAAACAAACTAGAGAAGGCGGATGAACAACAAGTTGCGGCTTTCTCTCATGCATGCTTTATCATGTCATGGATGAGCGAACTATTGGCCTCTTACAACGAGTGTAAGATCAGTTTTATCAGCTCACATCATCGTAAGGGCAAGTCACCAGCCAAACAATCAACATCCTCAAGTCTTGCCTTCGCCGATCTCAAATCCAAGCATGAGATTTTGAATTTCATGTTATGCGACTTGATTCCGACGGGTCCTCTGAGTCAACCAAACACCACCGAATCTCAGAAGAAATCAGCCATTGCTAGTTGGGCGATCATGGTTCTAGTCGCCCTATGCCATGAGCCCAACGCTGGCAAGGAACCCTCAGATGTCGTCACATCTGCTCGCTCGTTTGTTCTCAGTGGACTTGCACGTGCAATTCAAGATGCAATTGTGTCCGAAGAACCTGTTGATACTCGCTATGGTCGCTTGTATGCTCTCTCAGATCTCACTTTCCGTCTCCTTACCGCCGCCCCCTTTGCCCAAAGACCCTCAGCAAGCCCCAGTGAGGCACCAATCCAAATTGCGAAGATCATGCTCGAGAAAAACTATGCGGCTCTTCTATCTAACGCTCTGGCCGACGTCGATCTCAACTTCCCATCTGTCCAACGGCTATTGAACTCGATCTTGAGACCCTTGGAGCACCTCACCAAGGCAGTCACCAAGATCAGTCGAGCCTCATCTGACCGAAAAAGTGGTGACAGTACCACCGGCCCTGCTTCAACAATTGAAGTTGAAAGTGTGCCACCGACCGAAAGCTCAGTAGAAGATGAAGAAATGATGCCTACCGAGGAAGATGCCCCAGATCTTTACCGAAACTCAGCCCTCGGTCTGTACGAAGGAGAGTTAGAGCCTGGAAACCGAGACAACTCGCCTAATACATCCGAGGAAGAGGATCACTTTGATGATGAAGACGCAGATATGGATGATCTAGACGACGGGGCAATGCTTGGCGGCAGTGACTTGTCAGATGCTTCGGACGAAGAAGGTGATGTGACCATCGACATGGGCGAACCAGATTCGGATACTTCTGATGGCGATCATGAAGATGAAGATGACGAAGATGAGGATGATGATGACGACCAGGATGACGATGATGACGATGATGACGATGATGAAGATGATGATGGGGACGACGATGAGGGTGATGACCATCATGAAGACGATGATGAAACTGATCTGGACATGGGAATCGCTGATCGTGGTGTAGGTAATACAATTGTCATGTCAGTAAGATTTCGTGTTTTATAATCTATTTGACCTGCGTCAAGAACACATTTTTCTGATATGATTCTTTTTAAACTGGTTGATTTAGGCCTCAATCGCTGGATAACGCTAATGACCTTGATGAGGAGGCCCGAAATCTAATGAACTTCCTGAACTCCGGTCCCCCTGATTTAGGCCTGCCAGAAGGAGATGATCAAATCATCACTGCTGGTGGAGCTCGAGTCGAGATAGAAGACAACTTGGAGGACGAGGATGGTGGTTCGGTTGCAGATCGAGCTCATGCAGCCGACGATGGCTTCGAAGGAGGCTCACTTGATTTCGGTGATGAGGTCGTAATCGATACTGGTGTCGGCGAGAATCGTGCAGATGCTGCTCCGTGGTCTTGGAATGGCGTCTTGCCCTTCCAACCCCGAACGGAAATTCAAACTGCTCCTGTTGGATTAGGTGGTCATCCTACTTTGCTCCGTAAGTTGCTTGTTTTTTTTTTTTTCTTCCTCAATTTGTTTTGATGATTCTAATCTTTCATATCTCTTTCATTCTACAACCTCATCAGACCAAGCTACAGATAACGTGTTTGGCCGGCCACGAACTGGTCAACAGTCTATGGGGATTTCTACTCATCCTCTTCTAGTCGAAGACTCCAGTAGGCCCTCTCGTAGTGAAGGCTTTACCCGTTCTCATCGTCGAATGGACATCCGATCCGGATCAGTTGATCAGTGGATCACTGCTATCGAAAACCTCCTCGGCGGTGGTGCTGGCCAGCTGATCGAACACATTCTTGGAACAGCTGCGTATGGCCAACGTCCCATTCACATTGATCTCGGACAAGGTCCAAATGGCCCTTCCCTAGGTGGTGTTGTTATTGATCCTCAACGAGGCGTTGTGGTTCCTGTTGGCCCACAAGGCTTGCACACCCAAACCAATCAACCTCCCCCAGCTAGTCGACTTGATCGGCATCTGGCCGATCGAGTTGCTGGCCAGACTTTGATGCCCCTGGCCACCCTCCCAAGATGGTCTGAGGAGGCACGAGTCTTCCAACAAATCTCTTCCTCTTCCGAAAACCCTGCAAAGATTCAACGCGCGATCTTCAACCTCTTATCTCCACGTGCGAAGCAAGCAGCCAAAGAAGACCTACAGGAACGTGAGAAGTTTGTCAAGCTAGCCAGTGAAGCCCGACGTATGCGTGAACAGAATTTGGCTCAATCATCTCAATCTGTACCTGCGCCTTCCACCGATGCCGTCACATCAACGACGCATGAAGAAGATGGCGTGTTGCCCATGCCTGTTGATGTTACTGGGATTGCCGAATCATTGGCTCTTGTTAATGCTTCTGCTGATGAACCTAATGCCCCTACTTCTCAACCCCCGACTAACGAAGATGCTGAAATGCATGATGGCACTGATCCAGTCAACCAACCAGCTCAGGAGCAATCAAATCCCGAGTCTATACGTTAGTCAATTTCCTTTCTTTTTAAGTATAATTTTCTTTCCACGTTTATTCATTGTTTGCCTCTCTATTCATCCATACACATCAGCTGCTTCAATACCTGAGAATAATGCCATGCAAGGTGTGGACTCGCAGGAAGATATTGTGGAAGTGATCAACTTGGCTCGACAGCTGGCCGATAGGATTGGTTCCACGGCTGAAGGGTCAAATGCTCAGGATCCTGTTGAACCTGCTGAACTGCCTTCAAATGCCGAGTCTGGTGCTCCCCAGCCAGAAACCACGACAGATCCAGCTCCTGAGGCCTCAGAATCAGCCAGCGCTGCTCCACCAACAGCGCCATCCGAGCGTGTCACCATCACAATCAACGGTGCCGAAGTTGATATCACCGATACTGGAATCGACCCTACTTTCTTGGAGGCGTTGCCTGACGACATGCGAGAAGAAGTCTTGAATCAACATTTCAGAGAGCAGCGACCAGTCCGAGAAGAATTATCGGTCCCAGTTCCTTCCAGCATCAGCACCGACTTTTTGGACGCTCTGCCTCCTGAAATCCGGGCCGAGGTTATTCGATCCGAAGTTGCTGATCAACAACGACGTCGCCGGGAAGATTTAGCCCGGAACACCACTGCGGCTGGCAGTAATCAGGCCCCAGCTGATACTGAAATAGATCCGGCGACATTCCTTGCCGGTCTTGATCCAGGTCTAAGAGAAGCTGTGTTGCTCGAGCAAGACGATGGATTCATCTCGACCCTTCCTCCAAATCTGCTCGCCGAGGTTGATGCCCTCAGAGATCGTGTTCTCCGCCGGCAGCATGCCGTCCGCTCAGGCCGTGCCCGTGATCCTCTGACTGGTCTACCGGTCACTTCAGCCTCTCCGATCCCCTCAGCAAGCAAGAAAGCCCCCGTCAAAGTTGATGCCGTTCAAGTTCTTGATCGTTCTGGTATCGCTGCCTTAGTTCGGCTGATGTTCTTCCCCCAACCTCTACGAAGGCACTCACTACAGAAGGTGTTGGTTAACCTTTGTGAAAACTCGCGCAGCCGTACAGAGTTAATCAGTACCCTTCTCGGACTTTTGCAAGATGGTACACGAGATGCCGCAACAATCGATCGCAGCTTTTCGCAAGTCTCTAGTCGAGCTAGCAAAGCATTGACACCGGTGACACCCAAGTCGACGACTAAATTACGACGCGAGACTCATGTCGGCCCACTTCCTCACTTCCCTGGTGAAAGCGTGCCAAACTTGATTGCACTCCGATGTTTGGAGGCCTTGTCGCTCCTCGTAACTTCCAACGATCGCGTCCCGATTTATTTCCTGACCGAACAGGAAGTGCATGTGGCTCTACACAAACGGTCTGCCAAGAAGAGCAAGGGTAAGGAGAAGACTAACACCTCGGTTACCTATCCAATCGTCGGTCTTCTCGCATTGCTCGATAGGGCTAGTCTCCTCAAGCACCCCAACCTCACAGAATCAATCACCAGTTTACTCGCTTTGATTGGAAGGCCTTTGACTGCACTCGCCAAGAAACTAGAAGAAACCAAGAACCAGCCAGCCGTTGCTTCTACTTCCACTGCCCCTGTTGCTACTCTCAGCGAAGCCGTAGCACCGGCTGCTTCCGAAACGACAACCAGTCGGGCTACTGTCCGAACTGCCACTGCAACCGATGCTAGACCTCCCCAGACTGCTACCGATAAGTCCGACGCCCCTCCTACCACGCTTGAGAAAGCACCAGCACTTGCGGCACATGACTTGCGCATGATTGTCAATGTCCTCGACTCTGGTGAATGCTCAAGCAAAACATTCAGCCACACTGTCACATTCATCCAGGCCATCTCCACCTGCCCCAATGGTCGAGAGGTGATCGCAGCTGAATTACTTGAACGGGCTAAATACTTGGGTGACGCTTTACTGCCCGACCTAGATGAGCTTTCGGAAGCGATTCGTGAAGCCCCAAACGCAGCCGAGGTGCGATCGACTACACTAGCCAAATTCTCTTCCGCGTCTGCCCAGCAAGCAAAATTGCTCAGGATCTTGAAAACCACTGAATTCTTGGACGCACATGCCAAGAAACAAGAAGGGATTCAATTGCCACTGCCTGAACCAACTTCACCCCTGACGCTGAGTGGGGTGGATGTCACCAGTCCGACAAGTGTCAAGTCAACTCACGAGCCTCAATCATCCGGAATTCAATTCAAGTCCTTATGGGAAAAGCTTAGTGAATGTCTAACTCTAGTCCAAGAGCGAGATGACATGATTCACATCGCCACTGTGCTCTTACCTCTAATGGAATCCTTCCTAGTGGTCTGTAAACATGCTGGAATCAGTTCGATCAAGTTACACCGCGGATCACTGTCACCCAGACCAGAGGAGTTTTCATCAGACGTCGTGAATGGCTTCTTCCTGTCCTTTACCGAACGACACCGAAAAGTGCTCAATACGATGGTGCGCAACAATCCTGGATTGATGAGCGGATCCTTCTCGATTCTAGTTCACAACCCCAAGGTTCTTGAATTCGACAACAAACGTAACTATTTCAGCCAGCAGTTACACAAGGCCCGATCCCGTGAGCAATATGGCAACGTCCAGCTAAATGTTCGCCGACCGCATGTGTTTGAAGACTCATTTCATAGTCTGGCCCGTCGTACCGGAGATGAATTGAAGTACGGCAAGCTTAGCGTCAGGTTTTATGACGAGGAAGGTGTCGACGCTGGTGGAGTAACTAGGGAATGGTTAACCATCTTGGTCAAACAGATGTTAGACCCCAATTACGCTCTCTTCACTGGTAGTGCGGCAGACTCCAAAACCTATCAACCCAATCGTGCCAGTGCTGTCAATCCTGACCATTTAGGATTCTTTACGTTCTGTGGAAGAGTAATTGGAAAAGGTATGTTCTTATTCTCCAGGCCATAATTACTTCCTAGAAGATCATGCTGACTTATACAACTGCCATTCACTTTTAGCTCTATACGACGGAAGAGTGGTCGATGCGTACTTTACTTTGGCATTCTATAAACACCTTTTGGGCATTCCGGTTGGCTTGAGTGATCTGGAATCCGTTGACCCTGACGTAAGTGCCATTTTCCCTCCTGAATTTCCAAGCACATGCTGATTCCATCTTACATTATGTAGCATCATCGTTCTTTGAAGTGGATGTTGGACAATGACATCGACGGGATCTTTGAGCTTACCTTCAGTGTTGAAGCAGACGACTTTGGATCAACAAGGATCGTCGACCTTAAACCAGGAGGACAGGAGATCCCAGTGACGAACGAAAACAAGGCAGAATATGTCCAATTGCTCGTTCAAAACCGGCTGACAGTCTCCATTCGGGAACAGATCGATGCCTTCAAGAAGGGCTTCGATGAAATTATTCCCCGAGATCTCGTCCGGATCTTCTCAGCCACCGAGCTCCAACTCTTACTGAACGGTCTCCCAGACATCAATGTCGAGGACTGGAGAGCTAACACTGAACTGCATCAGTTCCAGCAGAGCGACTCGACCGTTACATGGTTCTGGAGGGCTGTCAGGTCCTTCGGTCAGGAGGAACGTGCTAAGTTGCTCCAGTTCGCCACCGGTAGTTCAAGAGTCCCTCTCGAAGGCTTTGGTGCACTTCAAGGTGCACAAGGTGCCACTAAGGTTAGCAGATTCTCCTTTATTATTTTCTTCTAGCACCTCATCTACCTGTGCTTCGTGATCATCGATGCTGATTTTGTTCTGTCTGTTTCTACTTGTCTTAAGTTCTCGTTGGTTAATGCACATACGAAGAACGTTCTGCCTAGTGCACATACATGTTTCAATCAAATTGAGTAAGTTATCAAAAGCTTTGATTAATTTCGAATTATTAACAAGCGACTAATTTTCACGATGATTGTGTGTCAACTGTAATTCCAGCCTGCCTTCGTACGACTCTTATGAAGAGCTGCGTCGGATGTTCTTGATCGCTATCAACGAAGGATCTGAAGGGTTTGGTAAGCTTTCATACAGAATTGTAATTTTTGACTTGAAATGGGGAGCTAATCACTTTTGGTCGGTTGGTTTCTAGGCTTCGCTTAAGGATCAAAGTTTGGTCAAACTACCAACCATATTATCATGTTATAGGGATGATATACCCTCTCCAACCCCTCTCATGCATAAGAGGTCGATCACAGAAAGAGTCGACTATTCATCCATCTCGTTTCTACGTCTCCATGTTCTATATTTCTTTTTCTTCTCTTCGCTCTAACAGTCAGACCAGAAACAAGATATGTGTCGTAATCTTGATATTTTCTTCTTTCACCTCGCCTGTTTCCTACCCTGTTGGTTTCTATTCCATTTACCCCCCCCCCCCTCTCATTCTTTATTTTTCAGAAACTAAAAAAAAGAGCTCCAGATACATATTATAACAGTCTGATTTACTCCTCCTTTTCTGACTTATCAAGTCTCAATTAATCTTATCCCTTCAAGAGAAATACTCACAAAATAAAAAATATCCAAAAAAAGGAGTGGTTTTGTTAACTCAAGAAAAAAGAATTTATCATATATAAGATACATGATTTTTTTTTTTCATTTGTTTGGTTTTATAATATTCTTCTCTAATTTCTTCTTTTTTTTGTTCTCTATCTTTCAAGTTTCGGTGATTGTTTTTTTCCTTCTTTTACTTAACCTCTCTACATAAACTCCTATTCTTCTTAACTTCATACTTATTGTCCAAAAATACAAGCTCTCTTTCAATTCTTCTTTAAACGAGTGAGATTGAACGATCAAGTTCGCTGTGTGCACTTAAGTATAAAGACCCGCTGATCACAGTTAGAATCCGGAGATGCCGGATCTTTGGAGTTAAGATTTAAGAGAAAAAAGGTGAGAAGAATTTGTATGAGAATATTATCTGGTGTTTAATCCATGTATATCGAGTCACCTCATTGATTTCAAAACTTATCATCAATTGCATACATCCATGTACTCCCCATTAATCCGTGGGCATGCATGTGCCTTGATGGACAAAAATTGGTTTCATGGTACACTTGCGCACAAGGCATTCGACTCTCCTTCCAAAATACCACGCACTCTGAGAAATTAAGGAGATTGTCACCCTGTGCTGTAGCCTTTCTCCGCAGATTGCCAATTGCCCTCCGGCCTCCGCCAGTTTGCCTAGCAAGAGAT